TTTTCACGTTTTCCAGCCCCCTCATTGAATCACTCCATGAGAGCCCAATTTTTAGAACGGCGGAAATGGGCGTGACTACGTCCGTTAAAATATACAGTCTATGGTAACTACACACTGTCCTTAATAAAAAAAAAGATTGAATGGGCATTAATAAATTAAACTCAAACTTCCTTTTTCCCATTTGTCTGCCATTTTGATACTCCAGTCTTTACAACATAAAACATATTAAGCACATGTTTTAATTGTTCTAAAATACTGCATCAGATGCTGTTTCGAGGCATAATTAGCATGTTTCTGTCTTTGGCGTGTAAACATACGGAGGCCAGGACGCCTCCTCCACGGTGCCGGGAGGTGCCTGTACTCTGTCTAATAGCACTTATTAATCACACTTACATGAAATGAAAATTCATAAATCTTCCATGACACCTCATCTCTGAGAGGACTCTGCTAATGCTGCAGTGTGGAGACTGAACGGAACATTTCCACAGGACGTCATGCTATCTGCTCCAGCTGCATATTACTTACATCGCATTCTGCAGCAGCCCGAGGTCTCCTCCCAGAGTCCTGAAAATAACAACAATACAGTAATTTGCTTTTGGAATCTGCAATATTAGGACAACATAAGATGTTTTTTTTATCATGGTTTGTTTGTGGTACTGGGCTAAAGCGGCATATCAAACTGGCATTGGAAACAAGATTTCATTTAGTAAGCTAGGGTCAGTCTTTAGACTTGATTCTTTGTTATGCTAGAGGGTTTTTTTCAGTATGGAGTTATTGCTCAATTATATTTTGCTCATTCCAACTTTTCTGTAACTGGTGATGCAACACTGAAATTTTCCTCACTGTGGTACAAATGGACCCTCCAAACTCAGCCCAGTCCCGGGTTTTTGCCTCTGCAACAGCCCGGGCTTGACCTGCTGGTACTGGACAAGCCCCGGTGATCCAAGATGGCACCCTATTCAAATGAAGGGCTTGTGCTCAGTAGCACATGGGACTTCATGGAGACTGGGAGATTAAATGAACTTGACTATATTTGGGCATCGTCTGGTCCTCCCGGTTCTGCGCAGTGGACAAGCTCCCATGATGCTTTGTGCCAAACGCGCGTCTGTGGCTTTCATGCACGTGCACAGAGGGGCTCGGCCGCACTCTGACCAATCAGAGCTGCTGATCAGAGCAGCAGCAGAGCGGCAAGGCAAGGAGCAGAGTTTGTGGCAGTAAAGTGTGGATTTAAAGAAAACCGAAGGATTTAAGAAAGAAAAAAAGTTCAGGATGACAAGGGTCACTAAAATTAAAGAAACAGATTTGGGGGTTGCTGCCGGGACCTGCACCAGGGACCTTGGGACCATATAGCTACAAGCTGCTGCATCGGCGATAGAGGCGGAGAACATGGTCCTCTCCGAATCGATGTCCCCCTCCTTCCCCGGGACCTGGGAGAAACTCTCCCGGAGGTGTGAGTTGAAAGTCCGTCTGACAGGGGGCTCAGCGAGACGTTCCCAGCAGACCCTCACTACACGCTTGGGTCTGCCAGGTCTGACCGGATTCCTCCCCTGCCAGCGGATCCAACTCACGACCAGGTGGTGATCGGTTGCCCGGTCAGTGTACTGTCCAGTACCTCAAAAGATGTAGATGACAGATTTTATAGGTTTACTAATTTACTGGTCGTAAAAGGCCAGCAACAAAACCATTTAATTGTAAATAAAATGCACCAGAATGAATGAAAATGCATCTATATTTTAGTTTAAGAAATATTTTGCAAAAATGTGTCATTTACTCACTGCTGTTTTTAGGGAGATGCATGTTCTATGACTTTATATTCCTTTATATTCTCGTACTTTGTGAATTACAGACTGAACATTCCAGAGGCCACAGTGCTGCTTTATCATGAGCTTTGGTTTCCTATTAGGCTTGTGCGATTCATTTTAAATGGATTATTAATATCCATACAATATTAATACATACAATATGTATTATTACTATTAAACACAGAATATATGTAAGACTAATGTATGTAAACTTTGCTCGGCTTCAGCAAAAATGATATGAATGAATACGCACTGGCGGCTGACGCGTCATTATAATGCAATAAATGCACACATTTGTGGTGGATTATTGATTCTCCGAAGCCCCTGAGGAGGAGCCGCGGCCACACGCTCTAAATAATTGGACTGTTGCCTTTGTTTTGCATAAATTATTCAGAATGATAATCTGGAACAGTGCTTTCATAACCATTCAGCAAAGGTCACTGTGCGAAGCGTCATTTCTCCACCACGCCTCCATCGGTCTGGAGACATATGCACCGCAGTCTGTGGAGAGCATCTGTGAGCACCACTCTGCTTCTGGAGGATTTCAAATGGCTTATACAAGATTATTTAGAATATGTCGTATGATTCATGGGGCAACCGTAGCTCAGTTGGTAAAGCATCGGCCTTTGGGCCTAGAGGTCATGGGTTCGAGCCCACCATGGGACCTACTCCAACTGCTCCCACAAATGTCTACTGTTGTTGTGTCCTTGGGCAAGACTCTTAACCCCACGTTGCCTGGGGCCCCTGCTGAAAGCCAAGGCTGTTTTTCACCGCTAACGGAGCAGCCATCTTCCTATGGACTCACCACCTGCAGCAGGAACAGAGAGGGACTGGGGCTATGAGCTTTGGGCGGCAGCTCTCATTGCCATTGACTCCATTTGTCGCGTGGTTCTTAATCAGCTCACTCAATCCAAGTCAAATAATGACTCTTAAAAATGCAACACCAATGTTCTGTTTGATTTGTTCACAACATTTTACTTTTGGGCACAACCAACATTATTATGCATTATTATTGCAAGGGAAAATGTAGGTACCACAGCTTTAATGTAGAGACACGGGGAGGACATTGACACTCTCTTAAAGGAATAGGCCACAGTTTTTACATACTGACATATGTTCTTACCTTAGACTAGTTGATATGTACCTGTCTGGTCTTTGTCCGTGCGCTCTGTCATGCAAACGGAGCACAAACGCAGGTTGTTAACCTGAAACGTTCTTTTTGGGAAGACCAAAGAGCAGGGCGTCTCAGCAGTCTATACGACTGGCGATAAAAGCATGCATCTGTGTTGGCCCAAGAGAGAATGGGGAGGACTCTCGTGACGTTAATATGTAGAAGTCAGCTCAGAGTTAAACATGACAGCCTGGTTACTCACTTGTCGTAATGGACTAAAGCTGGAGAAAGTGTTCAGTCATCCAGTATTTTAAGGTCTGAAATGTTTTTCAGCTAAATGTCCCTCAGCTTTGAAAGGGAAGTGTTAAACAGTCATTCTACAGAGAATCCTGCAGCCACAGCGGCCCTTTCTGGACGGGTTTGGACACCTGTACGGAATAAACTATTTGCCCCCACCACTATTGTTGTCAAAGTTTATCATTGTCATTTTCTACTCACAATAAAAAAATAAAAGGTATTAATGCAGGTTATTCCACTTGTTTGCTGGTAAACAACTTAGACAAAATTATAGTCTCCTGTCACGCGAGATCCTCACCTTCCAAGTGAAAACATGGCTGACGCAAAACATTCCAGAAAGGTCATTTTCATACACATATAACAAATATTCAACAAATTTGAATATTTGTTCCCCAAAACATATTGAGAATTATTTGATCATTCAAGTCTTTAGAGTAACCCTCCCTCAAAACAATGGGCCTCATTCACAAATAACTTCTTAAGAAACTTCTTAAATTTCTTCTCAAGTCGTTCTTAAGTAGATTTCTAAGAAGACCCTACGTGGGATTCATCAACGCGCTCGTAAGGCGCTGAATTGTTCGCAGCTGTTCTCTCAGATTGATGAATGCCAACTCCTTGTAAGTACAGCGCGCGTGCCAGGTGCTTCATTAGCATAGGTACTTAGCATAAGTAACCGCCCACTAATGCCCATATAAGGGACTGCAGGGCCGTGTGCAGACAGCAGAGGAAACAGCAACAGGCCTAAAGCAAAGAGTTACACAGAGCAAAAGAGTCACCCTTTTTTCTTCTTTTGTCCGACTGAGAGTAAAGTCATAACATTATGAGAATAAAGTTGAACTAGCAAAATTATGAGATAAATCAATAAACATTATGAAATTATTCAATAAATATTATGAGATGAATCTAAAAAATGTATGAGATTAATTTCAAAATATATTATGTATTAATTTAAATATGAATCTCAATGTCATGAGATTAATCTAAAATGATATGAGATTAATCTCAAAATATTTTTGACTCTGGGAGGAGATCCAGCGCTGAGACCAACGCAGACCCAAGGAGAGACTCAGCGCGGACCCCGCAACCTCCTGCAGCAGCAGTATATATATCATTATTTTGTGGCCCGTGGATAAAGAAATGCCCCCTATAAATAGGAAGGGGTCACTAATACACGGCATGACCTCCAATGTATTTGACAAAGCGTTGGCATATTTAATTTCAAAATGAATTAAAAATGTGGTTAAATTACTATAATTAATGAAACAAATACATACATCAATATGACATATCACTGTAATGTTGTGTTTTATTAAACGTTACAAAAGAAGACAACACCAGCCTGTGAACGTGTCGGCACTCGTAGGATTTGTACTTACCCAAGAGAAATTCTGGTTACGAGAACATTTCATGAATAGCACAATCTTGGTAAAATCCTCGTAAGTAGGATTTACGCACACATTTGTTCTTAAGAACGGTTCGTGAATAAGGCCCAATGTACCTGGGATACATTTTTTTTGAGTTTTGAGCATGTTTTTGTGCCGGTGAGCACATACAGTACGATGTCACTAAAGGAAAGGACAACACGCCTGCAGGATTGCTCATAATTTACTTATTTTAAATTGCATTTCTCCTTTCAGATTACTCTTCACATCTTAACAAGGTATTCACAGGTATTCAAAGCCTGTGTCTGAAGGATTTTGATATGTTTACATAAATTGCAGCCAAAAGCACCAGCAAAAACCAACAAAAAATATCAGATCCCTCGCTATGTCCCTAAAGCTTCACATCAGATGATCCGATGGCTCTCTTCTACACTGAACCTGATCGAGGATGAACTTCTGACCTTCTACGCTATTCTTTTGACCAGTGACAACTCCACCGTGCCAGGGCGGCGTCTTCTCCGGTCAGAGGACGATGATGTCGGCAACACTGCTGTGAAAGATGCCATGTGGAGGAACAGATTTGATGAAATGATGTCATGTGTTCATGTAGTTGATGACATGGACATCACAGCTGATCCGTTCTTCTTCGATCATCTGAATGACATCAAAGCAATCCCCACGGCAGAACATGTGGCAGTGGATGAAATGATGATTGAATATTTTGGAAGACATGGCTGCAGTTTATTCGAGGGAAACCCATTCGTTTTGAGTAAAACTATGGAGCTTGGCATCTTCCTCTGGATTTGTCCATCAGATGAAACCAGCAAAACACGGTTGTCCACCACGACAACCTCTTCGCCACCCTCACTCTAATAAACGATTCAGGTGGTTAGTATTTTGAACTCAAAATACATACTGAACTAAACTCAATCAATTTTTGCCGGTTTTACTTAAATTAGTGTGGTTGTAACTCATTTTAAACATGCCCGTCTCAATTAAAAATGCATACAGGAATCCGAACTCATTTATATAAAACATTTGAACTTGATATTGTGGCATAACTGGACGACGGAGAAGTATTGCGTTTGCTCAACATGAAAATCCTGGCGTGACTTCTGCAGACTGCATGGAGGAGTGCATGGAGCACTGCTTTTGAGGAGGTCAGGAGGGCCGGTAGCCTAACTATTTAGTTTAATCTAATTCCCGTATTTAATGCAGCGTACTATGTGCACATTGACAGATTATTGTATCGACTCATTTTACTAGTTTTAAGTTTCTGTTTCTCACTGGTTTCTGTCACGGCAGCAGACAACATTCAGGCTAGCTTAAAGAGTGCCTGCGGTACAAGCCGAAAGTCAGGTCCGGGTTTGGACTAATGCTCTTTCCCTCGACTATTTATAATATTAGTGAAACTCTGTCGCGTTGTTGCGTTTACATTGCACCTTTGGCTTGCTACTGAATTGACGTCAACATATGCATGTGGAGGCTAGTGTTACGTATGCGTGAATCATGATCTCCAGACTACAGTTTGTCAAACCCTATGGTTTGTCGAGCTAGCAAATGTGAAAGAGGAACCCGCAGTTAGTGTTTTGTGGAATTAATGTGTTAGCAGGTAGCCTGCAACAGGATAGCACTTAGCGGTTGGTTAGCTAATCTGAACCACCACGTGCCTAACCCAAGCCCTGTCCCATTCGTGAAAACTTTTTCCTGGTAGCCATCGGAGGCAGGTGGAATGAAGGTACATTTCTTTAGTTTGTGTAAAGCACTGTGGAGTCGGCATTAGTTAATGCTGCTGAACTGTCTTTAGGAGAAAGTTGTTAGTTAGAAATGTTCACACACACACATTTGTTTTAAGCGCAACATTCAGTGTTTAAAAAAAGGGTCGATCTATAATATTTCAAGCAGTGGATTGTTTTATATTTCATATTTCATATTATATATAAATTATCAGATATGACCATTTGGTTTAAATGGATGTTTTTTCCCTTTGCAGATCAATGAAGAGTTTAATAGGATAACCCAGTGTGGGCGGGTCCCAGCTCAAAAGTGGCCAAAATGACGTGCGCTGACATGCTGCAATACCACCCCGGGCCGATGGGGGTGGACCCAGAAGTAGAATTAGCCAATGCTAACATATAGCATTTGCAGACCTCTCAAAAACGTCTTTACAGGATGGTCCAAAAGTTGGCTCTTGGCCCAAAGCTCCGTTCCACATGTGTGTCAATGCTGAGGGGAGTGTTTTGGTCCACTCTAGTTTACTCGCTGTGAATTTTTGAAGTATCTCGTTCAAATGAATGGAGCTTGCGCCGGCTGACGCATGCGCAGATGCGTTTTTTCACAATTTTCTCGAGGGCGGGACCACTCGCGGCCATCTTGGATAGCTCCAGTAGAGCACATTTTTTGGCCCATTAGTTAGAACGGCGGAGATAGGCGTGACTCTGGCCGTTAATATATACAGTCTATGGGATAACCACAATCAATCTCCAGTCAACCTTTATGGGAAGACTGGACCGTTATCTCCCAAAAATGATTGCAATTTTTCCTTTGAGGGGAGGAGATGCAAAAATGAAGATGCACAATATAAAAATATGCTGCTTGAAGTACGACCTACACAGCAAATAAAGTTCTAAACATGCATCTCAAACATAAACCTCACTCATATTGCCACTCAGAGGGATGACTTCTGATAGCAGACAACACCTCATGGTTTGTTCACAGCACAGGTTTGTTACACCTACAAACCAACTTAAAACAATCCCCAGAACAAGCGCCCTCTAGCGGTCAGGAGTAAAAATGACATGCTGGAACAATACATGCATGATTCACTTTGTGGAGTGGACTTTACTTTTTTAATCATAAGACGATTATACACCATTAGATCCTTTCATTATTATTTCTTTGTAATTGTAATTGACATGTTACATATTTATTTATGGGATGTCCAGAAGATGACATTTGTCATGGCTATTCTATTGCTCCTGAGTATACATTTCTGTTTTTCTTCTTTTCAGGGCGATACAAAAGAAAGACAAAGAGAGGTGGCCATTCGCTGCTTGGTTGTCTATCTTGGCGAAAAGGAGAACGATCTTCTCGAGGTGGGTAACAAATCTTAATGTTCACTTTTCAAACAAAAAACATTGGTCAAATCAATGCTTCATTTGTTTATTTGTCCTCATTCTGGTTTGATATTGTAAAAATCTTGAAAATCTTCTTAGAGTCTTTCAAGTGAGCCCCTCACTTTTGGGGATTGCTTGGTAGTGCCATTTGATTTGTATTATGAAAATAAGTTATTGACTTCCTTATAACAATGTAAATTCCTGTGCTTTACTTTATGAGGATGAGGACGAGCAGAATGGAGAGGACACCATTGTCATGAAGATCAAAACCAAAGGGGCTGATCCAGTCAGTGCAACAATAATAATTGAGGGCAGCGAGGCACTGGGGGGCATGGATACGGCTAAAGCCTGTGCCGTCCGATGGGTCTCATATATGCACTTAATGTTAGCCACCCGGACAAACTCAAAACAGTCCTTGAATTTGATGGATTAAAAGCCAGCCCCAAAGTGATGTCACCCAAAACCAAGCTATCATCAAATGAGTAACGATTAAACGGGTAACGCTCTCCTCTCGCTCTGTCTCTCTCTCCTCTCGCTGTTTTCCTCTATCAACACGTTTTATCATATCACTTTAAAATCTAGATTTTAAAGTGATATTTCTAAGAATCTCTTACTGTGTATCTCTTTAAATCAGCATTGTTGTAACTTGTGAGCAGTTATGGGAAAAGTTTTATATTTAGGTCAATAATTGTCTCATTAGTCTGTTTATTTTTTTGTTCAGAGCGTTTTGCTGCTAATGTATGTATCTTTAAAGAAAACACTTTTATTTAGAATATTTTGACAAGCTGGTAATGTTGCAATCTGTAAACATACAAATAATATGTTCAGTATTGAGTACCAGCTTATCACTTATATTTTCTAATTTCTATTTCCATGTGCGTTTCTAGGGAATTTTCTTTCTATCTATTCATATTTTTTGTGCAAACGTTCAGAAAAGAAAATGCACACAATCCAAATGTTGAAAACGCCTGATCTGTCTCTACCTCCTCCCTCGTTTCTGTGTCACCTTTCTGCCTCAATCTTCGGTGTCCATCTCTCTCTCTCTCTCTCTCTCTCTCTCTCTCTCTCTCTCTCTCTCTCTCTCTCTCTCTCTCTCTCTCTCTCTCTCTCTCTCTCTCTCTCTCTCTCTCTCTCTCTCTCTCTCTCTCTCTCTCTCTCTCTCTCTCTCTCTCTCTCTCTCTCTCTCTCTCTCTCTCTCTCTCTCTCTCTCTCTCTCTCTCACTATCCCCCATCTCTCTCCTCTCTTTCTCTACCCTCTCACCCACTAAAAAATGTAGTACAGAGATATTGTCCACACACTTGCATAAACTGACTCTTCTATTTTAAAATAGTTTTGTTAAGATAAGATATACTTTATTGATCTCACAGAGGAGACATTTGCAGGGTAACCAGGTGATGTTCACCTGGGTTTATAAAGGCGCTTTAGAAAAACAAGGTTTGTTTACGGTGACGTTGAGCTCAAGGTTCTGGATTTCATCATGGTGGATTAATTTTGAGATTTCAAATGTAATGAACAGTTTTTAACTGTCAGTTTTAAACTTCACGTGTTGTATATTACCGTCTGCTTTGTCTTTGTTTTGTCTTTCTTCTTGTGTTTGCTCGGTCTGCTTTGTCTTCCTGTATCTACTATTCTATCTCATTATTTTTACTTTGTATTGTCATGACTGATTTTATTATTATGCTGTCTGTGGAGCCCTTTGTAAACATTGTTTTTGAAAAGTGCAATAAAAAGGATTTTTTTATTACAATTATTATTTTTATTATTACTACTACATACAGTGGCGCAAAAACATATTTAGTCAGCCACCAACTGTGAAAGTTCTCACACTTAAAAATATGAGGGAGGCCTGTCATTTTCATCATACGTAAAACCCAACAAATAGAGACAGAATGAGAAAAACATTCCAGAAATTCATTTTTTTAAGAATTGATTTGCAAATTATGGTGGAAAATAATGATTTGGTCATTCTGTCCTCCACTCGCTACCTGTATCAATGACACCTGTTTAACCTCTTATCAGTATGAAAGACACCTGTGCACAACCGCAGACAGTCACACTTCAAACTCCACTATGGCCAAGACCAAAGATCTGACCAGAAACACAATCCTAGACCTGCACCAGACTGGGAAGAGTGAATCTACAATAGGCAAGCAGCTTGGTGTGAACAAATCAACTGTGGGAACAACTATTAGAAAATAGAAGACAAAAAAAAACACTGATAATCTCCACGCAAGATCTCATCCCCTGGGATCAAATTGAGGTGAAAGAACGGTGATCAAAAATCTCAGAACCGCACTGGGACCTAGTGAGTGACCTGCAGAGAGCTGGGACCAAAGTAACAAACGCTATCATCAGTAACACACTACTCTGACTTTTGAAGACTTAAGCCCTGTTTGCACAGGAGTAGTATTAACTATGAACCTTTGGTGATTTTAGACTTAGACAGACTTTTTTGATCCACAAGGGAAATTGCCTTGTCACAGTAGCTCACATAGTATTTCACAACAAAATAAAAATAACAATAAAGTAATAATCTGAAAATAAAAATAAGATACTATTGTGAGATCATATATACTTTATGGAAGTCTGTTTAGATGAACATGCTATCTGTCACAGAGCGGTGACTTGTGGTATGAACGTGCTCTTGAACACTTTTTGAACACTTTGTGATGAACACGGAGGACTGCTGAGATCCATAGTCCTGTTCTGTAGTTTGTAAATGACCTCCTGTATTTGGCTAAACTCAGACGTCCGGT